GTCGTCACGAGTTACAGGAAGTCGGTGCAGCGAGCCATCCTGACAAGGGCAGAAACTATTCCAGTTGCCACGATAGCGTGAAGGAGGGACTTTGGTACACAAGTTTTAATGACCTCATTAGGTTAAGTAAAGTCGATTTGCTCCGTTTCGCAAGAAACTGTGCGTTCTCTTCAAAAAACAACTTTCATGTATGATGTATCCCTAAATTATCACCTTTCAACCACTATAACATGCATCCTGGCCACCTCACCATAACACAAACCGATTTTATCAGCCATTTAGAGAAGTAGTTTCAGCAGCCCCTCCATTAGGTGACTTATGCAGCTTTCAGCCTGGATTCTATCAAGAAGACTTCGTAAACTAACAATACAAATTCAGCCACTCCGTGAGGGATATATGCATTTCATCAAGCACAATCCGATGCAACATGATAAGCATTTGAAAGGGTGAATTTGGAGACGGTCCTAGAAGCGAAGTTAATTTAGAACTTCCTCTTTTTCAAATTTGCTCCAAAGGGAAAAATGACATTCCTATAAGACTAGAACCTGGCAAGATAATTTTATCAGCTTTGCAAATCAAGCTTTAAGCACAGGAAATGGTTGAATGGATGAAGATCGTTGCAGCTACCTAATCACACGGCTGTGAATGCGTATACTTTAGGCTTATTTTTGGAGCTAAGCTAAAATGCCAGACGTATTCTAGACTCGTTTTTGTAGTAATTAGTAAAGCAAGTTATTCGAAGGCAATAAATTAGCTTTCAACTTTCAACTAAGGAATGACTGAATGGTCAAATAGTAGTGCATTGAAATTCTCGGATCGTTTGTTTAACTCTTGCTTTCGGTAGGCTGGTGCTTAAGGCTCCACCTTTGTACTTCCGCCAGGGCGGCAAAGCCTCCGGACCATGTCGCGATAGTCTTTTGGCCCTTCTATATGTCTCCGATAGATTTTCTGCCCTAGTATTATTATTTTCTCCAAATTTTAGAAAAGTCTTAGGTTGCTATGTTATGTATGCTGTCACTAGTGTTTTACCCCTGCCTACATGCTTGATGAGTTCATTCGCCACCAGCAAATGTATTCATTCTCTCTTAGAAGCAGTGGATTCTCATTCAACCAATTTGCTCGGTAAAGGGATAGTAATAAAACTTTCAACTTCACCCTGGAAGCATGGGCCTCTGAGGATGGAAAATTGGTCAACTTAAGTACCTGTGACCTGTGACCACTACCTTTGTAGCAAAGTGAATGAACTTTTTCAATCTCGAGGTGACTTAAAATGGGCAAAATTTATGACAACTAAGGTGTGAAGTACTCTCAATACCGTGATGAATGGAGAGAGGATTGTGCCTAAATGAGCTTTTAACATCGGCATTTTTCATGAGGGGAAACCAAAGGTTGCCTTTTGCTTCTTGCCTTGTAAATGCATGTGTGTGCATGTACACGAGAGACCGCGGAGACTACCTGATTTATTACCATTCTTGCCATTGCGTCAAAGAAACGGAAAGTTTTCCTTACCTCCTCCTCCCCCTCCCCCCGGAACCTCCTCCTCTTCTTCCTCCACTTCCTCCGAGGTCGCCTCTTACTAAACGGAGTTGTGGAACCTCAATTACATTGCCTGTATGATTAGAGGGCCCATAAACTGGAACAAATGACTTCAAACTCACCCCACGTTGCACTTCTAGTTTCCCAACTAGAAGGCCTGTGTAGATTTGACAGTAAACGAGCGTCAAGCTAGAAGCACTCACTGCCCAGGGTCACTTAAATGATGGTGGTTAATTCATATCTACTGATACGATAGGGACAGTTTGGGTTGGTGCAAAAAGCTACCCATCCCTAGTGGGTAGTCTTTTGATAGATTTAATTCATGAACAAATGAACATAAGCCAAAAAAAGTAATTTCCATTTTAAAACTTGGCTTTCATGTGCAGTAGTCATGATTTTAATGCTTCCATGAAGACCGACCATTAGGTAATGTTAAGACTGCCCATTTCTCCTCCTACGAGCAGCCATTTAAATCTAAGAATATTTATCATTTGTTATTCCCGAATCAGAATTACACAGCTTAGAATTCACATCCCTTATTAGGAAACTCTCCATATCTATGATTTTATGGAAGGAATTCGAATGCCGATAAAGTGCGAGTCTCGATAAGTCTTTGGTTGAGGAAAACCTTGGCGAAGATTAAATCACGTAGCTACTTAAGCTTCCCCATCTGCATTCTTATCGAGTTTATTTTTTGTACCAGATACACTGTATTAATAAACCGTACTACACTAAGAAGCAAGAAATATCGCTCGCAATGAACAAGGGACGCACCCACGCTACTGCCCAAGCTTTAGTAAGACATCCACTTTCCGATCTGTAAGGCCAAAACATGGTAGTGCTGTCACTAGAGCGGACTCCATTCTCAGTGCTGCTTTAATTAAAAAAATCCGCACAATACACAAACATCATAATAAGGTTTAACTCTTCGGTTTGACTTTATGAGAACTGCAGGCTCCACCTTGGTACCTCTGTCGGACGGCGTGGCCCTCTGGTCATGACAGCAGCCCCCCACCCAGCCCTTCCAAGTGTCGGCAATGCACATTTTGTCCTAGTATGGGAAGTCCTAGTGCGCTAAACATTTATCAAAATGTTGATACCGAGGATGGGCCTTTATAAATGAGTTATAGGGGAAAAATAAAGCTTTGAAAGGGTTTTAAAACTGCTGAGCAAATCAGCCAAATTCCTGATTAAAGTAAAACTCATGTAGCCATACTACTTAAAAAATGACTTGCGATGCAAAGTGATTTATTTCCAAAGGTCAAATGAACCGACGTAGTACAAGTCACCGCCAAACGAACCATCCACTGTTCAACCTCACCTCCAAGACACACGCCACTTCAACTCCAGAAAATTAATAATTTGGAGGAATTAGTCTAGTTGAAAAATTACTTATTTTACGAAGAAATTTTGGACTGACTGACTGATAAACAGGGGTAAAATGTTTGAACCAATTTTTCATGTTTACTTAATTTTCATTGTGAAAATCCAAGTGGTTGTCCTACATCTGCTAAACATAATTCGCATTTTTTCTTAATTACATTTTTGTTTTCCTGTGTTGTTCAGATAAATGTGGTATTTCGATGGATTTGTCGCATATTGCAACCGACAAACATGATCCCGACTGCACCATATGTGACTGCAGAATTCCGCCTCCTCCGCACTTCCAATCTAAGGTTATTTTTGGAAGCTACATAAATGAAATGCTTCCAGAAGTCCATTTTCTGTAAAGGATTTTTACTATGGCAGAGTCAAGCAGTTACTAAGCAAGGCGAACTAACCCTGCGTAGTTGGGCAGATGCCGTGGGTTGTAGGTAGCGCTGTGACAGTGTGTGACACGGACGGCCGTTCCCACAGTTAATGCTTTTCCCACGCCTCTTGTCTTTTTCCACCTCTTGGTGTTCGCTGTTTGGTGGGGGAAAAAGGGGGCCTTGACCCTCGAGATGCCATTTTCAGCGTACCTTTCCCCACCCCATAGAAAAGCAATATTGCTAGGACCGTGGTCGGAGCAGCGAGGATGGTACCGGGTTAAATACCTTCAGGATATAATTCCTCATCACTAGATTATAATTACCATTATGTTCCAGAAGGATTGAAGGATTACCTGTGTGACAATGAAACAGATGACTAGCCTTCGAAGTATCTAAGTGTCTAAATTTTTAACCTACGTTGATTAATCATTAAGCGGAACTACTATTGTCTTTCCCAAACTACATTCTATATTTAAATAAATTCTAGGATGGCATTTTATGACCACTTGTTTGTGCTCAGTGAAAAATATCAAAGCATAATAGACAAAAAACACCAGGAAATGATCACAGAAGGCTAAATTGGGCGTAAAATCATTGACTTGTTACTGATGAGTGGATATTTTTCTCTCTTTGTGATCAAAGTTTATGACTTTCGTTGTTGTTTAAATTAGCTTTAATGCTCGTAAATTCTTTAAATAAAAGCTTATGTTAAACAGCTTAAACATTGAAGAACCACCAGGTCTGTTTAAAATTTTAAACAGATTCCTGCTAACCTGTAATGCAAGAGTCAATCCTGATTAGGAAAGAAGTCATAATGCCAGGGCGGAATATGCATTGCCGACGTACGGAAGGGCAGGGACGGGGGCTATTGGCATGGCTCGGAGGCCATTCCTCTCAGTGGAAGCATAAAGAACGAGCCTTGAGTGCTTGTAAAACTGAATCGAAGAGTTAATCTAATTAAGAATGTATTACATAACCCATCTTTTCTTTTAAGCATCTTTCCCCAGCGCTCCCCTAAGTTAACCTCCCGGGACGGCCATTGCAATGTAATCGGTGCCGTACAAAAAACATCGCGAAGCAAACACGGCAGCCATCGAATTTGCCTTCTACTGATCAGAAGCTTCGTCCCATTTGGGAAATGAACTGGGCGGAGGAGAATATGCAGGCTATCACGTATCTCTACCGCTAGCTGCAGCAACATCGTTCAAAATGCAGTCATTTAATGAATTAAGTGGTTAAAAATAGTTCTCTAGGAATGAAGTTTCGTGTCTATTTCTCCTTTACCACTTTTTTTTTACCTCAGTGTTGCCCAGCCATTTCTATCTATCTATCCCGGTTCTATCCACCTGGTAGAGAGGTGGAGGTGGTTTTGAGTGTCCAATTAATTGGCATCTTCATACAGCTACTGTTGGCAGATTCATAACGTAACTTTTCCAGATGATTCACGGCTAGTGTCACTAGTTGTTGATAGCATCCCTATTGAACACGAGACTGGGGTGGTTGCTGAAGGTGAACGTCATTCTCAACCCTTTTATTAAGGATTGTTACAGATTCTTCCATCCGCAGCATATACCCTTCTTCCACCAGGTCAAAGTTGAGCATTTAGGAAGTGGATTCAGAATTATTGTCCTTTAGGATTGGGTTTACTCTCCAATGCCATCAATGTAGCTCCCCAAATCTTTCCTGAAGTCGAAAAAAGTCATAATACTAGCGAGAATAGGTAATGCTGACTCATAGAAGCCCTGCGGACAACTGACAAGGTCCGGATTCTATTCCATGCGGTTGATTTACATTGGATGACTCTAAATTCTCCGCAAAATAAAAAAAAAGAGTAAAGTGGATCATCACCGTAGTACATATTACTCGACTTGTACCGAAAGGTATATGCTTAGGGACAAACAGGTCAATTTCATTGGATCGGTGAAATTTAATGCAGAATTACCATGGGAAGCATTTTGTCTAAAATAAAACACTCGAACCCACTCCATTAAAAGCAATTTCATTTGTAAACACTATGCCTAGTTTATCAAGTAGACTACGAAATCAGCTGCTCCAAATTCATCCATATTTAAAAGATTTGGCCTCAAAAAACACAATATTGTCTATCACCTGAACTCGTAGGCCAAACAAGCATGTTTGGAAATTTTTTACAGAAATATGACATAGTCAGCACATTCCAGCTTGCTGACGTCCAATACATTGCCGTCGCCGGCACTGCTGCTGTCACCGCAATCATTAGTTGCAACGGCATTAGGTTTACTGCCACCCGTTGCTTCCTCCCCCTTCCTGTCTTGAAGGTGATTGAGGAGGAGGAGGAGGCTGTGGACGGGAACCGGACACCTGGGTAGCTGTCTGGTCGTCAACAGAAATTTTATGCTCATGAAACCGAATACAGAGAATAGAAGGTTAGACAAATGTGTGGACTGTGTTCTCAATTACCACTGTGTGCATTAAACCAAGTTTTAAGGGGTTGGTTAAACTTAATACAATCAAATTAATGTATAATTTTCTTGGTCTGAGGGGGCCTACATTTTGAACAGACTAGAGTTAAGGAAAAGTATAGAACAGTGGGATTGCAATGGTTGATTGTTTTTAAATGACCCTGCTAACTGAAGCATTAATTAAACATGCGCTGTAAACGATGGAAATGTTCTGTTGAAGGTCAAGGTTTTCTAACTTAGTCCGTAAGGCAATCTGACCTTTCGTATTCAGTTACAAACCAGTGGAAAATATCTCAATGAAACCAAAGCTTTACTTCTATTATGCAAATTTGTCTTGCACTGTATTTTAGCCATTGCCTCTATACAGATTTTCCGACTGAGTAAAAGAGATCGAATGTTCCTCTGATATCAAACATTCATATATTACACAAAAACTGATTAGCAAAAGTGATTCGTGTCAGCACAACCAGCTACCAGAATCCCAGTCACAAAACTAAAAATTGTTACTAGCATTTGTACTCTGTAAAAATGTCGGACCTCATGTTGTCCTGACTGCGCTTGTCGCTTTTTATTCCTCTTCACGTGGGTGGTATGCATAGGACTGAATTCTCATGGGGAACGGGAATCTCCTGAACTTTTAAGTCCTTTTCTTTACCACCTGGGTGCCGCTTCTACGCACTTAAAAAATACTCGTGTACACTTGGTCTACATCGCTCGAGGTTGTCAAAAATTAGTAAACTGACAAGGAATGATAAACATACGTGTAAATATTTTCAACATCCGATGACAGAAAAATTGTTCACTTAAATCTACTGCATTAACTACAACTTCGTTGCTGAGAAATTAAATAAGCTTTATGGTCCCTCATTTTTAAACCCTTTTCATTTGCACCCTCCGGAATTTGCATTGTGCAGTTGAAATTAATCAGATTGGCAAAGGCATACTTATACGCTACTAAGTAGCATGTAAAATTAGACTTACTAAGCCTGATTTTTGACTTGACTTGATATTTGGGGCTAATCCTGGCACTCATGTCTGTGTAATAATACTGACTCATGCAAAATATAATAGAAAAATGAGACAAACTATTGCATTATGCCCAGTCTCAAATGTACTCAAAAATAAGTTTTACTAACCCTGGTAAAACTATCTAGAAATCCTCATAATTCCGCATTTAATGTATGAATAAAAAAATTGCAGCAAACATTCATGATTAATCATCTATCAGGCTATCTACCCATATTTTGACAATTCAAGAAAAATAAGGCCCTAGGTAAAACTACTGAAATTTAAACAAGTAGCATACACTTCCTAAAGTGATAGGGTAATTTACATGTGGATGTCAAGCTAGTGCTTTTCTTAACTTGATGCCCAGTACTGTGACTAATTTACCAAGAAGCCCATAGCTTAAAAAATCACTTCTCGTCTGTGTTGTGAGCTGATTTACAAAAACATTCTCTCGTGATTTCAAGACAACTAAATTTTACGATTCATATCAATTTATCTATCGTGGATATGGCTAATTTATTAGGTTGAGGTAACATTGCGGCGTTTAGAGTTCGCAAAACCTCCGTATTTACTATCAGGATGAGGACTTGTAAACAATGGGGTAGCGTGAACTCTGATGTGCATTTTGCCGCGACCAAGGCTCGAGGTGTCCAGGCGGAGATCAGAAGTAGTTGTACACATAAGCAACAATCAGAGCTGTATTTGATCAACACCTGTCCAGTAGCCGATTATACACATATCCATGTAAACTCTGTACCTCAACCACGTCCAGGAATGTACTTCTATTTGGTTCACGACCTTCGCCAGCAGTCTTAGCTTCTTTCTCTCATGGTCAAATTCCGTGGAAACATGGCAGTTAGTTACCTCTACAGGTCCACATCTAAATGGTCGGAAACTCGGTTGAATGCATATGGGTGTGTTGTCGAATTGCATTAGTTATGCATGAAACTACGGGAACTCTAAACGACCAAACGCAAAAGTACACCGAATTCGTTTAGAAAAGGACCTCTAATAGACGTAGAACAATGATTATAGTGAAGGCTTTCTTTAAAGACAGTCTCCCTTGTTCATTGCATGGAACTAACTAAGCACGGTGGTGAGGATTTTTTTCAACTTATGCAGGAAGAGTCACTCGTCAGTAGGAACGCTTCAAACTGAGGGCGATGGCTGACGAGCAATTAAAAGGCCGTTTGTTGGCCAATACACTGCATTTGTCTACCGACTCAGGCATCCGCACTCGTCTCTTGAGCAAGAATGAACAGGATAACCTATGAACCTATAAACCACAGAAATCGGATGGCACCACTTGCCACCCTCAAACATGAAGTCTCGATGATCGCAGGTAATCATAATGCAACAGTAAAAACCAGTCAATGATCCCTTGGCCGGAAGATTTATCAGATTCCCATCCGCATGCTTGAAGCCAACTTCATTGTCAAGAAGCACAGATACCGTAAACGCCCAGACGAGGATACAATGAAGAATGCTGTCATGCAGACAGTCATGAAAGCCCGTTTGAACAAGCAGTGAAGAAGCAGGAGCCTCGGACATACCTGTGCCAGCCACGTTTGATGGTGGAGTCAGGAGCAGCACGCGCTAGTGAGATTGCAACCGACTACCGTCTCCAGCACCAAAATTACACCCAAGTTGTCATGAGAAACCATTGGACCGTCACCGAGAGAATCAACTGTCCAACCCTATGGTCCAATTTCTCCGAAGCTCGAGACGACCAAACGAAGTTCAAGGCCAGTCTCAGGTTCCCGACCAATGCCTGATCGAGCACACATTCTATAAGCTAGCATCTTTCTAGAGTGTTCAAGAGGCCTGTTTGACGGGCTACTGTTATCCCGTTTGTGCTTTTGGCCCTTTTTGTCCCCCCACTTGAGCTTCACGGGCATAAACATCATAGGTTGGAGGGCGCCACATTCTTCACGATCACAATTACATCCAAGCTTTTAAAACATTTTAGCTTCTTAGCGATAAATGCTAGTATTTCGGATTACCATACTCTTTTTTTTTAACCAATAGTAATAATAAGAATACAGTGAAGCTAGGATGCTGGGTTCCCCACGTACCTGTTGCCCTCCACTTAGAAACCTATTCAAGGTCATAGATAATCTTATTTTACTGGTGGTATTTACGACACACTTCATCACAATAACTTATCAAGCGTAGGTTTTTCAGAAAAAAACTTCAAGAAGATTTGATTGCTTGTTAAACTCCGCGTTTTAGTTACTCCGGCATTTAATGGTATGGCTATGTGTATTTCCTCCCAGCGGCATTGCCTCCGAGGCATAGCGATTCCATTCTCATAGAATTAAATCCAGGAAAATTATGACAGCGACAAATCTTTTTAATCAACTAGCTCTAAGCATGCTTGTGTCTCTATGACACTGTTAAATTCACTTAGTTTTTAAAAAGGTTAAAGTTTTGATTCTACCTGCATTTGTCAAGTGGATTGTTGACACAATGCCCTTTCGATGTTGAATAGCCAGGGCAAATTGTTGTGCACTTTGGTCACAAACTCACCTGATAGTGGAGCACTTGCACAAGATTCTCTGTGTAGGAATTTAAATGGGCAATGTAGTGCCCTTAGACCACTATGAGGAGGGAAAAAAGCCCAAAACTCTGACTGAATATGTATTGCCGACGTGCAGAAGGGCTGAGAGCCCTAAGCGCGTGTCCCGAAGGCCATGCCGGTCAGTGGAAGTACAGCCAGCGGAGGCTTAAGTGCCATCGAAATAAAGGTGAAGGGATAAACAAGTAATCAGAGTATTCAGGCGCCTTCAAAAACTTTAACTTACCATTTGTAATCATCTGACCCACTAAATGGTACCCTTTTGAAGGGGAGAAACAAATACTCACCCCCTTCATGATCACGAGGCCTGTCTGAAAATGAGACCTTTGTATTTTGTTCGTTAAAAGCTGTTTAAACGGGACGAATGAAATTGGGGTGTTTTTTTGGTGTAAACATTGCAATGAAAAAAAAATCTACCTTTTCTTGTACTTGGGGGTGAGAATTGCCTTAGCACAAGTTACGGTGGGTATAGGATTACAGCGGGAAGAGCGCCTCGGTTAATGATAATGCAACCCAAATCCGAGGCTCACGAGCATCAGCTTTGCATCGTCATTTCATTAATGGCGAAATTTTGCAAGGTAATGGAGAAATTCGCATTATAATGGTGGTAATTCTGCTGGATAGCTACAAATGCCGAGATCTGGGTTGCATCGATGACTCGCTTAGGTGACAAGTGGAATATTATGAAAGGGTTAGCTGTAAAGTTGTTACAAGAACCAATGAAAAAAATAGCAGTTATTATTATGATTTTCTCATTGGACTATCTTCCTGCTCACTAGGAGAATATACTTGGTACACTGAGATATGTATCACCGCCATTAGTAGTCATTCGAGGTAAGTTCCGATTGCAGGGTGTGAGAAGTATGGTTTCACAGCTTCGTAGGAAGGTGTTCCTGTAGCTGGGTGTGACACTCTTTCAAGCAATCTGGTTTCAACTACGTTAGAGCGGTACTTAACCATTTGTCACTGGTGTTACCGAACTCCATTTGAATTGATGATGCGTTGGAGTGGATGATGAGAATCGAGGCGAACAAGAAGGCTGCTGGTGGCATGGCGTGTGCAACTCGTGTCACTCAGCCTCGCCTCCCTCCACTTACACTCAGTAGTCGGGCATAAGTGTTGGGGCGGCTAGACGCAGGAAAAATATGACAAGTATTATATAAAACTGCCTTTAAGTGCCTCAGTGATTTCGTCTATTGCAGGGTGACTAAGCTAGATCCAAAAATATAAACTTAAGTTAGTATTACTCGTTATTCATTTGTTTATCTCTCGATTTTGGTACCGGACCACCTAGAGACCCATTATTGTAGGTCCACCGATTGGTCTGGCCTCCGAGCCATGCCAATAGCCCTGACTGCGACTGTACGTTAAAAATACACATTCTGCCCTAGTAGTAGGTCCTCTTTATTCCTCAGAGAAGTCTCATTTATCGCATTGGCTGAAGCATTGTAGAATTCAGGTGGAAAGCATTTTAATGGGGTAATAATTTATTTTTACACGAAAGTATGAGAACCAACGCGATTGTCCGCTGTTTCTGGTGGGAGATTTATTGATAGCACAAATAACTTAGGCATATTTTTTTCACTGAAATTGATAGTGCGATGGTATAAGGCATAATGCTTGAGCGGAATATCTATTGCCGACGTACAGAAGAGCTGGGGATGCTACTGGTATAGCTCTGAGGCCATTCCGCCAGGCAGAAGTACAATTATGGTGCCTCCAGTACCCAAGAAACCAAAAGGAAAGGAAACATGAGTAATCAAGGTATTACCTAGCCGCCCTGTCCTTGTACTCATCAACCCCAATTCTGTCCTTGCCATCACAACGCAGTCGATGCAGTGAGACAAACACCCCTTGACCAAGAGCATTAACCGTCGAATTTGCGCGCAATTGAGCGGATACCTGACCGTAACATCACTGCTCCCTCCTGGCAATTCCATTGGATCTCAAGTTTCGTCCTGTTTAGGGAATATGTTGGTCATCCGGTATGTTCATCGCTGGTCGTCGTAAGGACACTGACCTAAGAGATGAGTCATTTAATAAGGGTCGAGGTTTGAAATAGTGCCAAGTGGAAACAAGGTCTCGCATCTGCTCCTCCTTACCACGTCGCTCTCAATGTGGTGCTATCCAACCATATCTACCATTTGGGTTCTACCCGTCTGGTGAAGAGGTGGCAGTGACTTCTTTATACAGGCACCGCAGACGACTCCGATTATTGCCGATTCAGTTGTAGCCAGCATTCCTAGAAAATACGAAAATGATGTGTCTGTCAAAGGTGGCCGTCAATTTCAGCCCTTCTGTAAGGGATCTTCACGGATCCTCCCATCCCCAGGATATGCCCTTCTTCCACCACGTTGTGGTTCAGAATTCAGTAGTAGAAATCCAGGTAGTTCCCTTTTAAGATCGGGTTCACTTTCCACTGCTACCAATGCAGCGACATGAGTCTTTCCTGTGGACAAAGCAAGCTGTAATATCTGGACAGAAAAGGGGGGGTATTGAAATGGCCTGAAGACCATGCCCCCCAGAGGACGTTCAAAGGCGGGGCCTTAAGCGCCCGTAAAACCAAAACGAAAAGTTAAATAATTAAAGCATTGCACTAAAACCGAACAAGATTTTGATCCGGGCACAAAAGTTCTAGGCCATGAAATATTTGCAGTCATTAGGAGTAGTAAGTTCGGCCTTTCCACAAATTTGCTTTAACCTTCTCATGGAAACATTGGTCATCACAGCCCTTAAAACGATACTACTTAAATGCTAACATATGCGACTTATTCAGATGAAAAAAATTTGTAATTTACTTTGTGAAAAAAAGTTCACCAACCAGTCTGCATCACTATTTAGTACAAGCAGTTTCTATGAAGTGACGAAAACCACGTCGCACACATGACATCATCTACGAACGCACAACTAGAAATGTGCAACTGTCACATTCTCAAATAAACTGAAACGCTTAGGGATTCATAAAACAACAAATTGTCCCTGTCTTATGATAGCTTGAGACTTTTGTAAGCCACAGGAAGTTTGACGTGGAATTGAAAGCACAAACTATGGAGGCGTCTGCCATTCCTGTTCTACTAGCCGGGCAGCGCAGAGGCTCTGCAAATTTATCACTCTCAATTGTCACCAGACATTTCATGCATAAAATTAGGATTTTGAGCTTCGTTTTACCTAGGCGTATTAAAAAATGACAAGCACTTTCAACATCTAAGGTAATTTATAAAAGCCACTTCAATCGTGAGGCACTATTTGGTTGAGGCAGCACTGCAACCCCTTCTACTTCAAGCCCCCCAAATATTAACAACAATTCACTCACAAAGGATTAAATTGTTGTGAAGAGATAGACTCAATCTTTGCTTTGAGGCTGGCAGATAATGACAACAAAGAGTAATGCTCCACAATTGCCTGAGGTTTCTTATGTAATAGGTGATCAATGTTTTCTTGTTTTTCTCGTCTGTCATAGGCTGTTGGAGGACAATGTCTCACTGAAATTGTCTATTTTAGTTTGTCCAAACATTTCGAATCTTCCAAACTATTCACTCTCCGTAGATTTTACAAGCTTCTATATAACACGTTGCCTTCACAGAACGTGCCGTGAATAAACCAGCGGTGAGCTCCGGTGTGGACCAATCTCATGCTCATTCACATGATGCGTGATGTGCCCTCGCTGAGGCGAGAGGTCTGCAACGCGTAGGTTGTTGTTGTGAGAACCCACCAGGTGGGGGTCAGCAGACGCACATAACGCAACAGCATCCACACCGTGTACGCCATCGTAACGTAAACTGAGACTCATTTGGTAAAAAAAACCCAACAGTCGCATGGCACCTTTTCTATGTATAGAAATAAGCATGAATCTTGTGTGCTGACGTAAAGGTGTGGGTGGTGATGGTGGTGACATGGAAAGGCAGAGCGTGTTAAACGTTATCGGAGATTAGTGAGCCTGGTGGAGGCCCTGTGGTGAACCGCAGAGAATCACACTTTTTGACACATCTTACAGTGGTGTGGCAGACACGAATCTAGCGAACTGAAACACTTTTAAAATATGCCATTCTTTTTATGAAAAAGGGGCAGAAATATTGTGTCCTAAAACCGCTTTTCATCTCGGCTAAATTTCCACGTTTTTTGACATGAAAAATTGATCAATTTTTAATCTATTTACATATACCACATTAAACTGTCCCTTAGGGAAGATACATCACACGCGTCCTGCGTCAGAGAAAAAAATGAAACATTTAAATGTTTTAATTTAATGGGAAATAATCAAGTGGTCTAACATTTAGAAGCCATTCAAGAATGCAGCCTCCTCAGTCCTTCCTGAAGTCGTAGTAGACCATACCAATGAGGGGCAGAGCCTGTGATGTCAAGTGGGGAAGCCAAGTTGAGGGGAAGATGCCGCGACTAAACAATAATTAGATCACTGCAAGGTGAAGAACCACTGACTCACCTCCGGCTTCCCAAAAGTAGATTTCTTTCATTAATTTATAAAATTACCAACTGAAGTAGAAGAAGCTGACCAAGTTGTTGTAAGACCCACTACCTGCCAAACTAATCAAACTGTACCTTGATCCATCTAGGAGCATTTGAAGATCTATTGGGGTCATTACGCAGGTGCGCGACCCCAACATCTGCTCCTGTTCAGCTAACCCAACATTTGTCAAGCAACCCCTCCCATTTGTTACTCACGTAACAGTTATCACCAATTCGGGGCGAAAAAGGACGTTTTTTGTCCATCCAGGCGCAGGCCTAAACCGCCCTCGTAAATATATGTATGTGCATAAAAACAGTAAATAGGGACACATTTCAAGAGGAAAGGAAAAGATAGTAAGAGAATAGTGAAGTAAAAATGGGACAATATGATATGATGTAAGAGGGACACAACTTCTACATGGGGAGTAACGGCAGCCAATAGCGAGGGGGCGGGTTGCTGAGCAAACCCCAGAGGGGAGGTAACTGGCACGGCGAGAGCGGTAGGCAAGGCCATACAAGAAGCGATGCTAGGAAAGTCCCGGATCATGCAGGGGGAGAACGGGAATCTTATCGGCATCAGCAGGCCCTTTGCGCTGATCGCAGGTACTGCTTTGAGTGCGGTGGCGCGAGACGTAGAAATAGTTCTGACGCGTGCCCTTGGAACCTGCTCCTTCAGTAGTTGCAGGCATCCCTGAAGGCTGCTCAGAAGCACTGTCCCCAGGCATTTGATGAGCCCCGTCGTGCTCACGGTTTTTCATCAGGCTGCGCAGCTCCGAGGCTTCCAACGATCGGGATCGATTGTGGAACTAACAAGGTTGATAAGCACGCCTACATTAATGACAATTTAAGACCCTTGAATCGACCCAAACATCAACCATACTAACCACCGGTGAGGGCAGAGTGAGTTAGCTGGACAACACACTCATGCACACTTTGAAGAGTGATGGTGAGCCAAACACAATTTGCGTGCATTTCAGGAGCGGTGATATAAACTACGATCACCTAAGTTCCAAAACATCCTCCATTGACAAGTCTTAGTTGGGAAAGTGCAAGGGTGATAGGAAAATTTCAAGTACAATGTTCCACTGAGTTAGTGGATGACCTACATGCGAGCTAGAGTGACGGCGTCTGCGACCAGAAGCAACGAAAGCAGCACCACCAGAGTCGCGCACCCGGACTGGATCATGGTTATCATCCTCACTGCAAAAAGAACAAGAGTCGTCGCGCACTCGGTCACCGGAGAAACAGTGTGCAGCCTCCTGTTGCTGCTCCTCAGCAAAGAACTCCGTCCTAATGTCCTGAATGCTCGCAGAACGGATAACGGGCGGCCAATCACCCGCCATTCGATCGATCTCCTCGCGAATACGCTCGTAGTCCTTACGCGCTACGTAGCGCGGGAAGAGGGTCTTCTTGAGCTCTCGCATGTGCCGACGGAAGGCCACACCTTCCACCAGCATCTCAATCAGGGAGCCGAGCAGGAAATTTGCCAGGGCAATTAGTATCAGCATAACACGCACCGTGTAGGATGGGAACACCACCAACTGGAGACAGAACAAAAAACTGTCAATGAGGGCAAACATCGACGCTGAATCGAGGGGGGAAAAAAATCACGCACAGTCATGAAATTCAGTAGAGCTTCTCCTTGATACAGGTTGATCAAGAGGTTAGTTCCCAGGACGATAAGGACATTGGCCAGGAAGAGGTCTGAAAACACACAAAACAATCTAGTTTAGAAAATTTAATGAAATCAGAATGCAGTCAGAACACCGTCAGGTTCACTTTAAAGCACACGTTTAGGCATAGCTTGGGTACTTGAGGACCAACTTAGATCGCAGTGCCAAAACACAAAGTAAAGCTATTTTCAAGGATTTTGTAAAATCGCACCAAACAGGCCATGCGGATAATGATGATGTGTGCCAAAAAACCTACACACCCAGGTGTACAACACAGCGCGTGGAACTTACAATTCGTGTATATTCTTTGGCGATATGGCGGTCCTTTAGAGAAAACTACGGCGAGTAGTATATACTGATAGCAGGAGATAAGGAATATTGCCGTATTTGTCATCTCGCCCTCTTCAAACGCCCTACAAAGCCGTGGTTAACACCCTGGGTGAATGCCTTGCATTGGGTTGATTAAAGCACCCGAGGAGGGAAAAGGTAGAACACCTACCAAGGCTGAGAGCCAATGTAGAAGAAAGTGGCTAACTGAGTGCCTATAATTAGAAGCAACTGACTGCCTAGTGACAGGAGGGTCGTTGTGGAGACGAGACGCATTGTTGGGGGTTCTGGTGAGAGACGTCCGTAAGCCTTGGCGTAGCTGACTGAAGACAGAACAAAGTATGCCGATCAAAAGTTAACAAGCATTTAGGTTTATTCGGAGGAATTTAGGCAAGTGGCTAGTTGTCACTGTGGCTAACAGAGATGTGGACTACAAAAGGAAAGAGACTTACAAGTAACGCCAAGAGAAGTGATGACAAACAAGTCGATGTAGAGAAATTGCATATCTTCGAGTGCTGCGTTAACCTACAATGAGTAAATCGGGCACTGCATTCTAACAGAGAATACAATAAAACAAAAATAGTGGAGAAGACGCGAGATATGACCTACAACGTAGAGTATGAGAACGCTGGTAAACTGGGTGATAGAGTAGCCCATCATGAACTTGAAGGTGCCAAAGCTGGTGGCCAACGCACAGCGACCCTCACGGATGAGTCGAGGCACACAGCTGATATTCTGCAGGCCAGAGGTGAAGGGACTAGCCACGGACGCCTCGGCCTGACTTAGTGCTATACCAGCATGTGCTGCTTTCAACGCACCGCAGTCATTCGCCCCGTCACCGCACATCGAGACGGAGTAGCCCACGCATTGCAGAGCCTCCACTAGTTGAGACTTCTGCTCCGGTGAGAAGCGAGCGAAAACTGTGCCTTTTACCACGAGCTAGGAAGGAAGGCGTACAAAGAGATCATTTAACCTTCCCTACTAGTTCCTTTGCGCTTCGTTTCGCAAACAAAAAAGTTCCGCACCTAGCTTAAATTGCTAAGTAAAACCCCCCGTTTTTTTTTAGAGTAAGGATTCTAACCTTGGGAATGAGAGAGGGAAAGTGCTCGCGAATTATAGCCCACGTTTTGCCCGAAAGTGCCAGGTGAAAGTCGGGTCGATCGACCATGCGCAGAGTGATACGATGCCCCAATTTGGCGCGTCCAGGCAGTCGATCAGCGTGCATTTGTTGAGCCCTCTCGTTTCCCTTCTCCCCGCTGGAAGCGGCCCCGTAAGCCTCCACATCATTCTCCACGCCTCCACTGGAAGATGAGAGGATCCGTTTTCGTCTTCTACAATAATCATACCAATCATTCGAACCGCGTTGCGAGTAAAAATATTTGTAAATTGTGCACACACAAAGGTTGTGCACAGTTTAACGCCTGACTCACAAGCACGGCAGCCACCTAGCGATTGTAGAGAGTCGCCGAATGACATTCAACTCCTCCTCACTTTCAAGGTCAGACGTCTGCCTTTTTGATGCGGTAGTCACCTCCGTCACGGGTTTGTGAAGGTCCTCAGCATAGTGAAACTGCACCAAATTCTTCCACAACTCCACCGAATCATCGGGAGTCGAAGACCCCCCACCCGAAATGTGCGAATCTCCGCTAACCTCCTCTAGCATTGCGCTTTTTGATGGTCGTTTCGGTGATTTTGCAGAGACGATAATGATGCGATCCATCTCATCAATCATTTCACAATCGCGAGCAACCGAGAGAGCAGTGAGCATGTTATCACCTGGAAGAAGTGAGGAGGAGCATATTGCATCTTTACTGAGCTCCAGCTATACGGTAAACCCCAAGAAAGGAGGAAAAGGAATAGAGCTTAACCCACCAGTAACCATAACAGGCCGAATACGAGCTTCTTTGAGAAGTTTGATTACGGGAGCGCTCTCCGGCTTGAGGCGATTCTCCATCACTAGCAGACCAAGGAACTGTAGTTGACGTTCGATGCTGGTACGTTGGAGACGCATGACTCGGGTGTAGGCCACTCGAAGCGGCCGCCAGGCTAGAGCGAGCACGCGGTAACCCTCACGAGTGTATTCTAGCAACACCTTGTGGAAGTCGCGCGGGACTAAAACAGTTAGGAGGGGGGTTCAAATAAAGGAATGCAACTGTAAATTTTTGCTCCTTTCTAAAAGCTTTCCAACTTACGCGTCTCCTTCCGGCAGAGGGTTTCGATCATCTCAGGCGAGCCCTTTGTGTAAACACAGAAGTGGCTTCCGTTGAGGGCCCTCGCGATAACGGACATTCGTTGGAGCGTTGAACTGAATGGGAACTGTCGCACAATACCAATCTCGTAGGGCAGAGTCTGTAAACAAGTTATGCAGCGTACCTTGGGCATTCACTAGCACACAATGGCGAAAAAAAACTAAGTAATCAGTACCAGTTTTTAAAACACGAATTTACCTTGAATTTAATTAGAGCGTGAAATGAGGTAAACGGAAATACAAAAAATTTTCGAAGATCGCATATCAGTGTGGTGATTGGGGTCACAACGACAACAGTTGCATTATTTTCTCGTGCTCAGTGTTTCGCATGATAACCCAACAAATACATGTATATTCAATAATAAGCATTAAAATTAAATAAAATTGGATGCACCCGAGAAGTACAACGAATTAAAACTTAACACTCGTCTCATTTGCCATGATAGAAAGAACCTTTGAGATGTACGCACAGTTTCACCATCACACAAAGACCTTTTGATTGCATCATTTACTGAAAGCTATTTAGTCACTCTGGCAAACGCTAAAACAAAAGAAGAACCTCAAACCGATGTCGAAGAGAAGAGCCATTATTAAGCTCGATAAATGAACCAAAACCATTACGCTTTAGGCTCACTAGCTTCATAAAAGCGAATCCTTGCATAAAAGGGGGAATAACGTACTTCAACCTCAGCCAAATTGGCACTCGAGACCTCAGTAGACGGTGATACACGAGGTCGAACGATGGCTGGAATGGTCATCTCGAATTTGCAGTAATCCTCCGAAATCTCCTCAGTAAATTCCTACAGGCGGTAAATCGCAAGGCAATGCACATTCACAGACCACATATAAGTGGTACAAAAAAATTTTAAGCCTCTAACGAGCGTAGGCCTACACGTTTAGCGCACCTGCCGACTATCAACAAATGTGTGTTCATACTGAACTTATGCAGTGTTCTTGAAAAGAGGTCAAGTAAATCGGGATTTCAGAAAGTGTTCGAAAATCTACCCAATTGGTGGAGAGGAACATCTTCAAATCCAGCGGATCACCGGACAGTTCGCCTCCAATTCTGGTGAGGGAGTGACAAGTTGCCATAGTTTCAAGTAGGGGCCCCTGCGGCAGCTCACTCGGTTGTGCTACGGGTTTCTCGAACGTTCCATCTCCGTTGGAGATGACACCCCACAGGTCCAAACCATCTTCCGTAATTGTACCGGTCTACGAAGATAAATGAGACTATTTCCATAATTACGATGATCGTGATAAAAAAACGCTGTCACACACTCAAGACCCCCCTCTAAATACGAATAGAACTCAACACTAAAAGTGCGCCACATACATACCTTATCAAAGCAGGCAACGTCGATGATACCACAGACATTAATAACGCTCGGATTGATGCAGAAAATGTTCTTCTTCTTGAGGCGACCTTGAGCGAACGCGATGCCCACAGTCATTGCAACGGGCAGTGCGGGTGGAACTGCTACTGTGATTAGATCGAATGCTCTTTTAACAACAACACCTGGCTCTGTCCCATTTCGCAGCTGGAATACACATAAGTATTACTTGTACACATCACAGATATTTGCATTTAAAGTAAGGGTCCAGACGTTTTGAATGTATCACAATGATAAGTGGTTACGTTCGGATGGTATGACTGCAGATTTCCGACTATACCAATTTATTCAAAAGCCATTTAGCATGACAAAAGCGCTCCAAAAGCGCAGGTATCCACCTACCAGTATGTAGACAGAAAAGGCGAAGCCCCCCAAGGATATAAGAGCGAGGACTCCAACAAAACGATTGACATCGCGAGTGAATTTAAACTTCATGGGTTTGGGAAAGAGGATAGCTCGGACCATCTCACCCTTGGCGGTGCGAAAACCGGTGCGCACAACCACAGCGGTGACCTTCTGGTCGGCAAAGTTACGGGACTGGATAACTGAGGTGCCACAGAAGAGGACACTCTTGGAGGAAGCCTTCAATTCGAATGGTGGCGAGGCGCAACCGGCGCCCCAAGATGCAACAAATGGGATTTTGGTCACTGGAACGCTTTCACCTACATTCAAAACGAATAGAACGATATAGGACACAAATGCAGCTCCGCTATTCTTCAATAGAATATACATAGTCATATCTGTGTAAGGTTTCGGCTTGCATAGCATGAGGACATTTGAGCTTTTGATAAGATCCAATTTAAAGTTTAGCATATGGTAAGACTAACCAGTTAGCGTGCTCTCATTGACGATACAATTGCCCTGAAGGAGAACAGCGTCACAGAACATATGACACCCATCCCGAGGGATTTCAATGATATCACCAGGCACAAGATCAGTTGAATTAACGGAAAAGAACTCTGAAAGGATTGTAAGGGGTTGGACATGTGAAGAGACGAATAGAAAGAGGCAGAGTGTAGAAAACATACTTTGATGTCCATTGACTTCGCGGCAGAGATTCACGGTGCCATACGAGGTGACAGTCTCGCGAAGAGCTTTCTCATTCTGAAGAATGGAATAGGATTTAAACAAGCAATAGAAAAGCGGCTTTTAAACTAAGCAAATTTTAGCCAGAATACCCTTCTCAAGTCGCAAATATTCCAAGACAGCGACATAGCCGAAATGATAAGAATAGCTGCTGCGTAGTAATAGTAAGAATCACAGAACCATAAGATGCAACTTGCCAGTTGGAAGACATAGAATTGATTAAGGCCCTATGGAGTTGTCATTTAATTTGGATTATATTCAAACCTCTTTTAAGAGCAATTGGCCGACACTTCGCCTTGGAATGGGAATATCATTCACATCGTATACAGATCTACGACAAGCTACTTCGCTTTCAACAAGTGGCTGAGCATTAACGATATCCGATGATGGCCGTTCATCCCAATTGCTGTAGAAAGAAAAAAATTAAGGACAATAGTCAAACAAAGTCAGTGGTAAAGTTTTACGCCATCATTCCTGGCAGCATTTTCAAACCAACTTCGATGTTAACAAAAACAAGGACTTTTGCCTAAGGGAAAAACTCACGGTAGCAAGTAGTAATGTTCATCCTCATTATTCAGAACATATTTTAGATTCTTGTAGTAAATCCAAGATTGGGTCGGACCATCCTGGGAAAATAATACAAGATTTACAATTCTACCTACGATATTGTTCTGCGAAGTTTCCGCCGTGAAAAACTGCGATGTATCAGACAAGGCACTGGAGTATGTGCTACCCGAATCATTAACCTCTAAAACAGATCGCAAGGCTCTTCTCACATCAACGGTATAGAAAACACCGCTGCTATCCTAAAAACATGTTACAAAAGTATAAGACAAACCTTGATAAGGAACATATCCGCATCCTTGATTTTACAAGAAGACATGATGAACCGAATATGCCACTGAGGAAACCATTGAAACACGAGTCGAAGGAAAAAAACCGTTAGGATATAACATATCCACTTCCTCACTGTCACCAATTTTGAGTATCGAAATGCCCACATATCCTAAATCATTACGATTAAAAGAGAAAAAGAACACACCGATAAACTCCCATCAGCGTCTGAAATAAGGCAGTGACGTTCGTCATCGTTGACGTCGAGGCGACACATAATTCTCAGTCATGAAGCGAAGGAAGCCTAAAATCTGCTCTGGACAGCCCTGAGCTCCGTAGCACCAACACGGGAACCTGCACCCGGACCTAACTGAAACAACTAATTTTGCCGCACACATTATATTGGTGCTCAACAATCGTGATGCAGTAAAACTAATGCACTCCCTCTTTAGTTTTGTAAGAAATATTTTCTAAAAAATTATAAGGGTTATTTTAAATTGATTAGTTAAATATAAAGTTATTTGATAGCCAGTGAACAGAATGACTGGGTTCAGAGGCTAAAGAAACTAAGGGACCCGCATAGTCAGATACATGTCGAAACAAATACCCAACCTCAACAATAATGCAAAAGTTGTAGAACAGATTTCTAAGTGTCTAACTATTTATTGGCGTTTGCAGTTTGTAGTGGAAACTTATTGTAGCGTCCCAAAACTCCCTGAAGACAAAAGAAGACAAAATACTCGGGCAGAATATATATTCAGCACAGAGAAGGTGTCTGAGCTATTGGCATGGCCCGAAAGGCCAGCCCACCCAGCGAGGTACAAGGGGCTAATTCAAAGTACAAAAGTGGTGCCCCACCAGTGCCGAGGGATAAACCACTATCGTATTACATTATTGCCAATCACCAAAAATGTTTTGGATCATAGACATATTTTGCGATTATCCTTTCGACCTTACGTTAAACTAGAAGTCTTGCTATACATTTCTTTGCAAGCACTAAATGGCTGTCAGAACTACTACACGCACAAGATTACCTCTCTGCGAACTACCCATACAATATTCCATCTTCCCTTAATAAAAAGCTTTTTTTGCACACCTTCATTACTTATGACTCTTAGTTTAATACCAAAGCTATGCAACTTTGTGAGCAGGAATATTTTCGACCTCTTTTCAGCAGAGATAAGTACTGCAAGCCAATTCAACTCCGAATATCCCGAAACTTTGCAACTAACAATTCTATCTGAAGTAGAATTTACGACAAAATGATGTTTAAATCGGTTTGCATAAGCATTTCAAAACGGAATGATGCTTGTTCTTGTTGTACATTTCCACTTTACGACGATCGTGCACATCGGTTGTGAGCAGCCAAAGTTACCCTCAAGAAGCCTAGCCTTGGCAGAAATTCAAAGCATAAATATAAGCCTTGCCATCGCACGTTTGAGGTAAAAAACTACTAAGTACGTATCCCGTTCCTACGTAATGGGACCCGCATCCGGACTGTAGATGAATCGGGTTTTGGTGTTGAGAGGCATTCTACATGTGTTCTAATCGACGATATGACCGACTCATCATCTGAGGTGTAGCAAACGAAATCCTAGACCCATTTCTAGTTATATCGAACTCACGTATCCAAAGGTTAACGACACAAGTGGATTGAGAATAAGAATGATTTAATGACGAGTTGACTGCGTGGTTAACGCTCATCACTACACATAACTTCTCAGCCCTTCCATACCTTGGCGTTGCGGCCCTTCACTTGTAACCTTCTGTAGAATAATAAAAATCCTTACGCCGCTGAGCCCTACTGTGTCTTCGGATAAGATGCTGGGAACCATAACTGAATACTCGGTAACCGCCGGCGCGCAACGAAGTCGTCACCACTCAATGAAGCACCTGCTCCGAGACACTATAAACGCCAACAATACGACAACCACCACTCGGCCCAAACTAGGCTGCAACACCATAATCGGTGCACGACCCAATCCTTTGTCTAAATGACATGACCTTTGCTGTATAGTCTGACAAGGAATATTTCTTATTTCAAAATTAGACAAAAGGGTCAACGACACACAAATAAGCCTCATTTTGGGAAAAAGCTGCAAACCATGCCAGCACAAAAAACAATCAAAATAGTAACAAAAATACGAGACTTAATTAACTTTTGTATGTTTAATGATCATTAAGGGGATGCGGCTGTTTCTCGTAGACAGCGAATCGGAATTCGATATCTCCGGAGTGCCTCAGGTCCGAATCCACCGTATCCAACCTTGAATAATGAAAATTTAATAAATAAGCAGAAGTGTATCAGAATAATCAAAGGCCGATATAAGCCTGGAAACAAAGATCCTTTAGAACAAATACAAAGTAAGTTCAACCTACTGAATGGGTTTGAATCGCTCCCAATCAACAGAAGGAAAGAAGGTGTCACAATCGAAATCCTTCATAATGTGTGTATAGTAGAGACGAACAGGATATACCTCCTGTTCCAGTGCCTCCTAGAATCAAAGAGTAACAATAAGGACAAACAATAAAGTAAAAAAGAGCACTACTCAAGCGTTAAATTGCAAAGCATTCTCGTGCAATTTACCTTGTATAAGCCATGACCTCCAATGATAAAGACCTCGTCTACTTGGCCACTGTCGATGAGAGATTCAAGCAGATGCAAAGAATCTTCAAATGATTTGACAAGATGAGTACCTTCGGGTACTCTAAACAACGAGAATGATTATGGGTGGATATGACTTACGATTCGAGTTGTGTGGACACAACCACGTTGATTCGACTTGGTAGGGGACGAAACTTTGGTGGAAAAGAAAGCCACGTCCTCCTCCCAAGAATCACTGCATTCTTTTTGCCTTCTTGGGCCGTTGATGTTATCCTACTAAAAAAAGTCATGTCCTCCCTAAAATAAATACGAGAAAACTGGTAGTGAGATTTGCACCTAACTCGCGGGAGAAAGCCCTGAGGAGTGACTAGTAACAAGGTGTTACTTACCGAACGCCATCAGAGCATATGGAAAACAACACTACAATAGATCTCAAGCCTAATTTTTGGTAGGCATAATCGAACTAAAACAAAATCGGTACTCCCCTAACCCAGTAGGAGGTATCAAAATAAAAACAAAAAACCAAGAACAACACTGTTACCAATATCATGCGTAGGAAACATGCTATTCAAGACGATTCAAAGGTATTTGTCTGGTACAATAAAAGCCCCCTTCGAAAGAAGGCAGCAACCACAAAACACGACCCGTAACTAATTCGTACCGAATTTTCCATGGCAGCTTATTCTCCTTTCCAATACCACCGTTATTTGCAACAGCCGCAATGACGTTGAGACGCTTCAGCCCCATACCGAAAACAGGAACGAAGCGCCCCCCCTTTAAAATAGGCTGAAACCATTATTTATTTCATACCTGACAAGGTTAAACAAATACACGAGGCTTATGACCGTAATGTCAGCTTCGTTTATTTATTCAGACAAAACATTAATAGTGGCATTTTTCACTCCAGAATCCACTGATCAGTTCATTTGATTCCACTGATGTTATTAGGTTTTGAGTCGTCTAATTCTTTCAATGTTGTATTCCCTACTACTTCTGTAAAACACTTTAAAAAGGATTTAAAAAATCTTACCTTTTTAAGGTTCTTTGAACAAAATTTACCGAACTAATCTCACTCTTCCAAAAACTAAGGCAACCAAACCTTTGTTAATAATATGACCATTAAAAACGTTGGACGGTTCTCGTGCCTCGAGTCTTCCTAGAGGGCGTAATAAGCCATAGCAGTCTAGCAAACCTCATACAACTAATGTAAAGAAGGGCCGAAATTTCCTAACATGATCTAAGGGCCACGTCGCTGGGCAGAATTAGGACCTGTGGAGACTAAAGCGGCCAAATAGCTTGAATGTCTACTGTTAATAAAAGATGTTTAAAGGATAACTTGCGCTTCAGATAGAATCTTCTAAATAAAGTGCTTAGCATGCTTACTGATTTGTATCAAATTCGCTCTGATATACCAAACGGTTCATTGGTTACTCTGCCTATGTAAAGGATTGTATTCTTCATTTGCGACATATTTTTGCGTGGCACTATTCAACCATAACATCAAGCTGAGTCGAATGCCACTAAAATCCAAACCAAATTGCACGCACGACACGAGTGCAAAACCACCTACGGTACCCATAAATCTGTTCACTGCATTGCTCCCAACTTGAAGGCTATCACGAGCAACTAAGTTTTGGCTATGGGTAATTAAGACTTAACTTCGGTTATCCACGGGGCGCAAAAGTGCATATGGAATAAGATGTCCTACGGTTGCAGTGCTTATAGAAAACGACCACAGGATTTTCAATGGACTGTAACGTGGAAGCTTAATACCCACGATACCTTAGGCCTCGCCCTAGCGCAAACTGGGGAATGCGACTTTAGGCTTCTGTACGCAGAATCTAAGCATAAAAGTGCTGCCCGCTTCGATGTTCTTTAGTGTTTCATTAAGTGTTATAGGACAATGCAGTTATAGGGGGAGAATATAGACAGAGAAATTGGTAGAAGTAACATTAGCAGAGATAATGAAACGTTGGACTGTGCGTGTGAGAAATGAGCAGGCTAAACATACATAAATGTCAGCAGCAGAGGCGGAGGACCCCTGCTGCATCATTACAGGCAGCGCTATCACGGAGAAATGCGGCATTAACAGACAGTCAAAGGAGAGGGTGGGAGAAGGAAGGAGCAGGGGGTAGAATTTGCTGTAGAAAAATACAATTGAGGTAGATAGCTTGTGTTCAGCAGCGCAGTGGGCACGTCATTGAACTTTTTGGTGTGACGAGAGGATGCCGTTCGTGGTGGTATTATTGTGGTGGTTGTTGCGCAGTTTTTGTGAATGCAATAATGACGCGCAATCGCCTGCGGATGTTGGGTGCGCTAGCATGTATGTGTGTTTCTGCAAGAAGGTGTAGCTTTTCTATGACTGCATTTGTGCGAATCATGGGAGGATATGAAGAGAAGCTCACCTATGCTTTCAGGCTAAAGATGTCTTATAGCCTCAAACAACTGGCGGCAGGAATCCGCGGTGTCCTGTAGGTCTGAAGAAACCCCGCTTGCGTCCAACTAAAATGGCAAAATCACAACTTCTTTGATAAGTCTTCAAGTCACATACCTAGACTAGTGCCTCCGGGACTGCCAGGAGACAGCAAACGTAAACAAGCGTTACTCTCTCCGTGACCATCTTCTCAAGGAGTGGAAAGTATGCATGAAAATTTATTGCTGCAAATCAATTTATTTTCCACCGAGATTCCAAATAGTCCGACTGGATGCCACTGACGAAGACACCGTCACATGCACGCGTACGGCGCTTAGTTGTGTATGAGCACGCGGTAGCGGCAGACGGACGACTTAGCGAGCGAGCGTATACACAAAATCCTTTGTCTGAAGGGGTAGCATTTGCATATAATGTGAGAAGACGGTAACACAACCCCGGGGAGGTGAATTATCGCCGATTTTTGTAGAAGTGTGTTTAGATTTGAATAGATCAACAACCACGACAAGAGATGTGCTGACTCCTAGTCCTACTTTTTTTGTGCAATACCAATGGCGGCAAAACTAAGCTGTCATGGTGGCGGCGACTTTGCTTTGAGAGTAATGTTCAACCCCCACTGACCAATCACTGCTGCTAGAAAATGAAGGTCGGAGGGGTGGTGTACACGCATGCCGCTTGCATGCGTGCGTGCGTTAAACCAACCGACTCATTCACCTCCCTCCCACAGGTAGGTAGGTAGGGGAAGAGAGAAAAGCGGCAAAAGACCACCCACACTCTTCACTTTTAATCAATAGAGGCGCGGGGGGACAAGAGGCAGCCTGCCAATCATGTTTGCGGCGCGCACGTCTTCTTTTCCCTCTTTTCATCTTAATTTTTCTTTTCCCCCCAATAGTAGGCTGGAGGGGTAGGCGGCAGCGGACGATCGCTGAGGTTTTAAGGTTCAGTGCTGTCCAGTGAGAACAAAAAGACAGGGCTCCCCCCAACACCACAGAGGCTTTATGAGTGCCAAGGCATGCACGGAGGCACCGCTACCGCTGCTGCTGCCGCCGCCATTATGGCCATTGATGATGACGCGACGTGGTGTTAGTGTGCGCGCGCGCATGCATGCGTGCAGCCATCACCACCGCCACTATCTCGTCCCAGCTATTCCGCCACCTCTGACTTCCAAGGCGCTTTGGTCTAGGCCTACACTCATGCACACACACACAAAGCGAAGGGCCGCCATGATTAGGTAACTTACGTCTGCCGCGTATGCTTCTATCGCTCTCCCGCTCTATCTCTATAGTAGAAGTCAACGCACGTGCGCTCTGGCACACATAGACAAAAGCCGCCGTGTTGCATCCAGCATACATAAGGGAGGCAGTGACAAAAGACGTTTAGTGGAACAGAGGAGTGTAAGACTGTGACAACATAATAAGTAGAGGTGATCAACCCATTGGTTATGTGCCCATGGACTACACTGTGTCCCTTGCCAACGCAGACGATGGAAATAACCGAAATCATCAAATCAAGGAGTTAACGGCGAGACAGCTCATTGCTCAATGAGTTGCAGCATGTTATAAGGATTGAAACCAACGTCCCTTGCTTGCAGTAGTCAGGTAGGCTTTAGCCTTTAGTAGGTAACTCTTTAAAGTTCCTTTTATTTCGTAGACAAACATTAGTATTTTTGATAGTGGATAATGGCAGTCAGTGGCACCATTGAGACTAGTTTATGGCTAGTAAATGATTTCACCGGTACACCCGCAAATGCCTTGTTTCAAAGCCAAAGTGGCCACCCGGGTGCGTGACTATGGCTGTAAGGCATGCACAATCTTTTTAGGTCCGTGGCTAGGATACAAAACATTCACGCTGGTTTACGCCATTGGAGAGAAAAAAGAGAGAGCACGGGCGTGCATTTGCACAAGGATGAAAGGAGAGAGTGCCGACAAAGATAGTTGCCGCCGCCTCGGCGAGCAATAAAATGCACATACGTCTATGTGTGCGCGTGCGTGAAGATATGCTTGTCCGTGTGCGTATAGGGACCGCGGTAAATTTTACTCCTCCTCCTCCTGCATCTCATTTTCCAGTAGTACAATAAAACCAATGCGTGTGTGTGTGTGTGTCGGCTTCTGCATAAAAGGGAGGATGTAAAGCGCGGCTCGAAAATGAGCTGCCGTTCTCGCGCTTTTTCGTGTAAAAAGGCAATGTCGGGCAGGGTAGGACAGAGGGAGAGTGTCAGGCGAGGGCCGAAATGGGCCGCCATCACCGCCTCCACCACCGCTATCATTAAAGCGCCTGGCAGAAATCGGATATGGTTGGCTGTGGTGGTGGCAGTGGAAAAGTTTATGGACGCCCAGATGCACCACGCACACCGATTATGCTCCCTCCTAGCGCCCTTCGGATTCGTAGCTTCATGCGCACAACAAGAGCGAGCGAGAGATCCCACACCACCGCCGCCTCTACTGAAGTGGTACTTTGCCAGGCACCGCGCCCCCACACACAGTGAAGAGACTTCAAATGGCCCGTCATTATTATTATTATTATTATTATTATAAGGGAGGATGAAAGGCGAGGTCGCCGACAAAGAGTTTTGCCGCTACTGCCACCCCAAGGTTTATGCGCACTCACGTACGTAGACCTGGAGAGCTAGAGAACTAGAGCTGATAATTTATACGTTCCAAGCAGCTACAGTGAGGAAGAGATTTTCCGCTACGCCTTACCCTACGCTTACTCTCACAGTCCCCTAGGCCTCAGCTATCGCAGAACCAACAAAGGGTATCGCGTCTCAACAAAAGGTTTTATCCCATCAATCAAATTCAACCACAAAACGCTGCAACTAAAGTCCCCGGACAATTACACATTGCTTGGAATTGGAAGCGTTCAGTAAAGTGGGACTTTCATTCACACTTATATTCAGATTAAAAACCAAAATTTCTCTATCACATTTTAAATTACCCATGCATCGGTATATCCCTTCAAACCAAAACTCGAAAAATTAGCATATTTCAGATTATCACCTTAATGATAGGAAAAAAGTTCGTGAGTAAGGGAAGCGCAACAGTAAGTGGGGAACATTAGGAGCGTTAACCCAGGCCCTGTGAGGCGCTGAATCAGCCAGTTATCGTCCCATTGATTGCCCCAATGCACTCGTCCACCCTACCCCTGTCGGCAGAAATGGTGGGAAGGAGGAAGATCAACGGGCAGGCGAATTTTAGAGTGGAAAAAAGAGAGCGAGCGGGAGGGAAGCGGATACGCTGCCATGGACCGATTCGAATGAATAAGACACGCGCTATGCATTGGGGAGGGGACAGAGGAAGATAAAAGCGTGAAGTAGACGTGCGTGGTCTAATTGACGACACTTTATATAAGAAGCCCCGCCTAGAGACAAAAAAGTCGGAGCAGGCGGGTAGGCAGGCAGGGAGACACCGAAAAATACACTGAACCCATAAGCGACTGTGTGTTGAATTTCCTGTTGCTGTTATCAAAGTAGTGGGTGAAACATTTGCCGGAGAAGGCCTGTGGGCTTTTCCACCCCTCCCCCCCTCCTTCATCGTTGCTGCATAGAGAGGGCCCACACAACACAATTATCCATTCGTGAAAGCTGATAGAGTAGTAAATCGTACTTGCTTTGATCCTTCCCGCCAATGTGTGAAGAGCTCACAAGAACAAAGGCTTGTGCGCAAACTAGATGATGAGCTAGAAAGTCCACAACCGCACACAAAAGGACTGATTGAATTAGACACCCTTGAGTGGAAATGAAGCTGTGTTACAGGACACAAAAGTGCTTTTCAGTAAAACGAGAGTGAGGCCATGCGAATGAGCTGAGAGTGAGCGTGCGTATCTCTCTAATCCCCACGGGGCGGGGGCGATCAAAAAAGGACGCCAGCGCGCTCTGTAAAGTTAGGCGGTGTTTGGTGCGGTGCGCGGAATTCCAGTGTTGACAACGCCTCCTAGATACCTTCTCCGCCTCTGATGTGTGCGCACGTACATGTACGCGTAAGTAATTGGGTTTTGTAGTCGGCATAAGATCAAAGCTTTGAGACACTAGCCGGTAGTGGCGATGAGGATGAGGGTGATGACACGATCCCAATATCACACCGGCGCTGCGTGCCTGCTGGTTCATAAAACACAGCGATATAGAGGAGTGCACACCCGCGAGTCCGTTTAGTGTTACTGTCGCCGCCCTCATTTATAGAGGAGCCTGCGGGTGTCGGTGACCAAGTTATGACCTCCTTTGAAGGATACAAAGTAAACCACTCGGATATTTGACTGCGGTGATTAACATCTCGGCGACTCAAACAGATTTTAGCTAATTCAAAAAGTGGTAACTGCAGCAAACAAGCACTGTTAAATTGACAACGAAGGTTTTAGATCACTGCTATTCACTACTACTGCCTCTTGGCAACATTTAAGGCAGCTAGCTAGGAACCCGACCGCTCCCAATGCCCTTTGATAACCTAGACCAATATTTGGAGGTATGAGTGTATCTTAGCAAAATATGTGGAGAAATGCATTCGGATGGATAAAGGAGGAAGCTTCTTTAGCTGTACAAAGACTCCAGTGGACGCATATCAAAAAGGCGTGGTGAATGTGAGAAAAAAAGGCCGACAGTCAGAAGACCGGCCGAACAAGTCCGAACAACAGAGGGAGAGAGCGATGGAGGGAAAGCGCGTACAAATTAGTCCATCTTCGCATCTACTGCCAAGTTAACCCACTGTGGATGATAGGGGAAGGAAAGAGGTAGGGGTTGACTGAGTGAAAACACTGCGGTACGCACAAAAAAACTCAGCAGTCAGTCCTCCAAGCCGAAAGATGAAGCAAGTGGATGCGCGCGTTCGAACACGCAACACAGAATGTCGTAGAGTTAAGTGGACGGATGCAAGGCGAAGCCTCAAAGATGATGAGAGGATCGGTATGCTGCGCTAATTTGCAATACCTGCTTCCAAACTCGGTTACAACTGCCTCCAAAATGCGTAAATTTGATTAATTGCAATGGAAAGAGCAAAAAAAGCTGTTTACTTGAACTCTTGAAGGAGAGGGAGGAGAGCGAGGGAGTTGAGCTGTCAAAGCAGCCGAGAGAGTAGCTTAAGTGCCATGTCAGAGCCTAGGTTTCAAGTGTCAAGAAAAATTTCTCAATGCCACATTTCACTTTTCCTGACATGCAGCATTAATTAGCAACTTTATTTTAATTTTTCCAGGCTTCACAATGTCAACTGCCGGGCATTTGGTAAAACAGTCGGAGAGAAAGCTCTCTCTTCACAAAAGGGGAATTCTGGAGAGTTAAAAGCTAGAATCCATCTGGAAAAGCTGAATTTCCACTTATTTAGCCATGTGAAGTCGGAACTATCAGAGCATAGGGAAGGTGTAACAGACGATGGTTAAACGCTTGAGTGATTACCTTTGAACCAACTGCAGTTGACACTAAAAGCTAATCGAAATCATTCTTACTATGGAAAAATGAAATAACAGTTTGGCCAAACTCCTTGAATTGCGTAGTGATACTGTACTGGCAAGGTGGGCGACTCAATTTTCCCGTGTCAAGTTCAAATGCCTTCCATGGGCTTAGTCAAGACAATAAGGGAATCATCATAGCCGTCGGTAAACCGCAGCCTGAGGTTCGAATAAGGACCAAAATAATTTTGATTTTATTTTAATGTAAGCAATCAAAATAATGTTTAATTATACTGAAACGTTTTATGGACAGATCCTACCGATCCTAATTTGAATGGTGAGACCGAATTGAGGGGATTGCCGCGTTCACTGTTAGAGCTCTTAGAAAAAGATTAACCACCGCAGCCCATGCCTTTCATTGCTCTAATTTGCTTTCAATCTGTTATGGCCTTCCATTCCAATTTAACTCCTTTCAGCCAAAAGCGTCACAGATGCGTGACGTCACATACAGGTGATGCTTGTAGCAAAAGTAACCAGCAGTCCCCCCATGATTCACATTATGCAAGGAAATCCTATCCCATTGTCAGACGATAGCGTTGAAAGTGCCGGTTTGACCAGATACACGGAGTAACTGGGTGCGGCTGTTCAGGAAAGCAGGAAGGAAATAGCAGAATGAGGCGTCATGAGTGCACACATAAGTGAACGCAAGACAATGGCAACAACAATCGAGCGGCAAACGGTGGCACACCGCAACGAAAAAAAAACCGCAAGTTTTCTGCTTCAACCTCCTCACCCTCACGTGTTTGCAATACTGTCACAGACAAACACAGACACCCACATTTGTAGCCGCTGCAGCCGCCGCTCTTCCGACTGCCACTACCACCTCTGGTGCTCCTGTTACCACAAGGAATGACTGCCGCACTATACCGCGCCACACTATACCAAGCTACATCGTGCGACAAAAATGTTGGTCGGTCATTGGAGGAATGGGAGAACGCAATCAGCGCAAACTAATGCGTTAACTTGTTACTGCCATCCCCATTTAAACTTGGCCACAGATAAACAGATTAAAAAGGAGAAAATAATGCCATAGGCTTTAAAATACCTCTAAAATACCAATCAAAATACAAAGGGAAAAGTTAGAATCAAAAAAAGGCGAACGAGAGGATCATTTCATCAAGGATGCTTTAAAAATTATAGGCATTACTCTTTTGCATATTCAAGAGGTCATTAAAATGACAACCTGAGTCGGAAAGTTTTAAAAAAGTAGCTTCAACGAAAAGAATGAAGTGATTCAAACTGTGCGGGGAGTAAGCAGAGATTAGTTTGCTGCTCCTATGTAGAAATTTTGTGAATAGACAGTACATACTAAAACCTGGGAAGTTTAGGGAATGCAGTGAATTCCACCGCACTTTGAGACGTTCCCGCCTTCAAAGGTGCCGACTAAAAAAGGACACCTGTGGCTGGCGCGTGGATGTAGTGGAGTTAACAAAGCAGGGAGGAAGAGGGAGGGCGAGCAGGAGGGAGGAAAGAGGATCTGCTTGATGAAAACACCGGCGCCAAAGCATCTTATGATGCGACAAACACCATGCACAAACGCACAGAAAGGAAAAAAAAGGAGGCCACAAGAATCTATGCAACAGCCTCGTGGCTCCACACGGCATAGCCACCCTCGTATGTGTGAAGATCAAAGACACGGTAGGCCGAAACATGGGCTGAAAAATGCTCCACTTCCGATCACCATCCCAGGTAAGGCGATTAAACTTGTAGACAACAGCATGGAGGGGAACCTTTACTAATGACTTCTTGTGCAAAGTCTTAGGAGGACAGAAAAACACGATGCCTAAGGTCATGAAACAAGGCTGTAGCGCAAAATGCACAGGAGGTCTATTATTCATCGCGCATCCGATCGCCTTGGATTTAATTATAACAAGTTCAGGAGAAATTTTATGCAGGCACAAGTGCAAGAAGTGACAGTCACATGAGAACTGCATGTAAGCAAGTCGCGTTATGAATAGACTCCACCGCCTTTACAACCATTTATAGAAGCTTTGAATCTAACACAAACGATGGCTTTCCACCGTCTTAGCTGCTAACTGCGTGGATTTGCGAATAGCATGGAGGAAATGGAGTGCGGGAAGGAATTGGGCAGAAGGTAGTTATTTTCGTAGGCAATGAGAGCGGCGCGGGAGAGGAAGGAGGAAGCGGAACTACTCGTCGTTGATCAAAGGGAAGGCCCAGTACCACACCGAAAAGTGATCTTATCGAGCGGTTGGTGAAAAACTTCCGCCTCTCTTTGTGCCTGGCTCCGCGCACAACCTAGTAAGCTAACCGAATCCAGTTAACTGGTTAGTGACAGTGGTGGAGGAAGAGAGATTTGTATGAAAAAATTAGGTGGGTGGACACCGCCATCGCCTCCCCTCCAGCAGACGAGGAGATGGAGAGCGATTAAGCAGCACTCGGTGTTTGCGAGCACTCCACTCCAAGCCGGCAGAATTATTTGCCTTCCTCTACCTTAACAACAACAATAACAAATCCCACTAAGGCAAATTTCCTAGCTTCCGATTCCAGTTGTGGCCTTTCCACTCACCCATAAAACGTCAACACGGCACAACTAGCTCTAAATTTTCATGGATAAAGACCACTGCACTAATGGGTAAACATTTGTGGATTTTATTGCAGGCTCCAACTGTATAAATGATGTACGGGGTAAATACCACCATCTACACCGCGCAATGGATGGAAAGATTAGCTCGAATAGTGAGATCCATTCATGCTCTACGGATTGACGTTTGACTAGCTGCTCGATCTTCGTAAAACGCCTACAAACGATCTAGTGAAAGGATGAGGTCATTCAAAACTTAACACCGCCTTTGTAATCACACTTCACAAGGATTGAGCAACAAAGAAGCCGACTTCGGCAAGACTCACTCTTAAGAGTACTCCGAGCGAATGCTTTTGGGAAAGTGCTTCACGGCTCCTTTGCAGCGAATCAAAAGGCAGGGAGTAAATGACCAATAATTAAAAATTCAAGTTATTTTGGGGGAATTCGACTTAACTTCCTTTGAATATGATTGATCTAACACAGAGCGTTAAGGTGCTGGTTGTGAAGTTATCCCAACACTAGTAAAATCACCATGGTAATCAAATTATTCAATGAGTATGGACTTTTCCAAGTTCGAAAAATGATTCCCACTTAACAAATATTCTTCTCCTTCAGAAGATTAAAGTAGGAAGGGACCCGTTAAATAAAAAGAGAAGGTGTTCCTAATTTCCATCTCGACTGCCACACTGGTGATGGGCAAATGGTTAGGGGCAAGGGAGTACTAGCATCGAGTGAAATCATCACTCTTGTGAGGTGGTGAATAAAAAAGGAAAATTACTTTTCTTCATGAATGCTCATGTATTTCTAAAAACAATACAATGATAAGTGAGTGAGATCTCAAGTAGATCTTACTTTGTTAGAGAACCAAGCAACTGGAATAAGATGGAAGGGAGATATGGAAGTAGATATGATGCTATTTGGCGATGCGGTGAAAACAATACTGTTAAACAACGCCCTTTTTGAGTGTCCAAATGACGATAGTGTCATACGAACAACCTTTACCGTGCCGCCTCCACCACCGCCGCCGCTGCCGCTGCCGCCCTTGATAGAGTGCACAACCAACACTCAACCACGAATACACCCTCATTTAACAAGTGAAAACTGTGTCAAGCCCGAGCATGGAGTTTTTCCAAAACAATATGTGTGAATAAAAACCAAATGACAAACTGATGTCAATTTATGCCTGCAAAAAAAGTGTTCTCCCAAGGGCGCATTGGTTTTAGAGACCGAAAAAGTCAAGAGAATTAACATACGGGTCATCACCAGCCGTATTGCCAACTCTTCCCCCAAAAAGAATATATGCAGTAGCTTTGAGGTCATTAAATAGAAAAAGCACCGGTGAGGAGGTGTATCAACGGGTAGGCGTATTAACTTGATGTACTGCAGAATCTTGAGTCACCATACCGTCAGCTACAAGGCGGCGAAATCCCAGTTAGTGGTGCGCCAAAATGATAAAAAGAGATTTAAGACGGGTGTGTCATGCTTTGATTCCACACCACTATAGTCAAACATTATTAGGTTAGTACGAATTGCAGGTTTGCTGACTGCTTAAAGGGGTTGCCATTGCACCGCAAATCACTTCGTACAGGCAGGATTGTTGACCACTGGAAGGGGAAATAGCATTATCACAGTGACACACGACAATTTCTATAGCTTTTGAATACCTTTTTATCTTGATATCTTTTGTTCTTCATGCTCACTACTACATGTGATTTCCTAATTTGCTGATTTGATGCCAGTGTCACAAATGCGTGACAATTGTTTTTTATCAGGTGACGGTAGCTGATTACTCCAAATCGTGTCCTAGAGAGATTGAGTTGTGAGATGTTCGCGGTCACCGGATAGTCACACTGTTTCGTTTTTGAGTAGTAGCTGAGATTGGCAAAAAAATAAATGACCTTTAGTTTCACATTTGAGCACCAAAACATCTGGTCTATGGTCTTTAGGTTCCCTCTGAGACGGTCCCAGAGAGCAAGTGGGTGGAAAGGATTCAAGCCTGGTAAGCCTCAATGAATTTCCTACAATCACAATTGATTGAGCTTCTGTGACCCATTACCATCTTCGAAGGCAACTTGTCAACTCAAACAGGTCGTCGCTAGGTTCTAAAATGTTTGAATCCTCTGAAGTGTTAAATATATTTTTACAGGTCAAATGGATCCTGCATATGCCTGTTATGGCATTGAGTAGGCAATATGTAGAAAGGGATGATAACTGTCGCTGACAGCAACAGTAATAAATTGCATGCATGTAGGTGCGTGTGCCACACTAAGATGCCGTCCGATACAAATGACTCCGCTAACAAATGGCAACCGCCTTTCTGCTCTAAAGCTTGTTAGCTTTTCAGAACTAATGCATACTACGATAGGCAAATACCGAAACGTACTTAGTCACTGGAATACCTCTCCATCGGACCCCTCCTGCCCATTCCTAGCGTCTCTGTAAAAAAATTAACTAAATAGATGCAAATAGCACCACCTAGAAGTCGGAAGGCAAATAGAACAGAGGGGGATGCATTTTATCATCTTTTAAGCGCACTCCAATACAGTAGTTCTTTCAGTAAGTATAATGAGATCCATCGATCACGAGGCGGGGCAATTCACAATAACAGTTGGATGATAAATTTTTAAAAGGAGGCGCGATGAAAAGGGAGAGAGAGAGATTCACAGCGCTTTCTTCATGGTGGAGGCTATCGGCAGAGGGCGAGGGTGCCCCAAATTTTCTTTCATATCCCGCCAAATCGACTCATCCAAGACTGTCTGAGTCAATTTGAATACTTGATTTTATGAAGGCTACTTATTCCTCAAATCACATTGTAGTTTGATGTGCGATTACCTTTGACATTAAACGGCAATTAAATTAGCCAGGTAGTCGGAACGTCACGGTGGTATTAATCAGCCAGACCTGGGGGTTCAAAACTTAGTTAAGGTGTGTTTATGTGACCATTTTACCACAAGAAAATCCTCCACTGGTCTAAATGTCGTATTATAATTGTTTCAGCTCTCTAAATTTATCAAGAAGAAGTCACCCAGAGGCACGCAATCTCCAACATCATCAACCAAGTTTTCGCTGAAGATGTATCATCTGGAGAGAGAAAGTTAGGACAGGAAGTCAAGGATAACAACTCAGCCACTTTGAAAAACTATGAAAAGTAAAAAAAAGTGACAACTGATTTGAAATCTGAAATGAGGGAAAATATTGTGGAACTAAGGGGACACCACCCTACAACCACAACGCCTCAAATGACCATCAAGAAGAGGACAAATCAAACCTTATTGTCACCAAAAAAGAGCGCTAGCATTAAAAAATGCAGAGTTTGTGTAGAGTCTTCGTAAATTTTATGAAAAAGCGGAGCCGCTTCAGCCGAAGAGGTAATAATTTGGCTAGCTAGTGGAAAAAGGCGTTCAGGTGAACGTCAAACGCAGTTGTCGGAGCAAAAAGTGTCGTGGTGCATTTAATGACCACTTGGAATCTTTAGTCATTTCCGAGCTCAATTAGCTTAAAACTGATCTGCTAAGTAAATAAATAAAATAGTTTTATAGACATTATTTTCTGCTAAACATTTAGTCCTCGTGGCCCTACAAGTGGAGACAATCTCATCAGAAATGTTAAATTGGGTAATGCTGAGCCGCTTTCCAAAATTTACCCAATTTTATCCCCAAATGCGTTTATAAAACTGTCAGACATTGGAGTTTGATAGGGAGTGGGAGAGAGAAAGGATGAGAGCTCCACAGAGTTCGCCTTTCAACAAAGGGAAAATTAGAGGTGCTTTTTGCTCCCGACTTTTTAAAGTTTGCAAAGAGAACGCGAAACGGGAACGGAGCGGGTAAGGGAAGAGAAGGAAGGATAGTCAAAGCCCCGCTTAGAAATACGCATTCCCTTGCGGTTAGCGGTGAAAAAGCTCCATTTGTCGGGGCAGCCAAATCCACTCTAAGAGCACACCCATAGACACCCCCTCACTCTCACAATCTTCCCTTGGTGGCAATGGCGATGGGTAGGGCTTCAATCCCTATTGCCGCGATTGGAGAGAGAGGCAACAGCAATACCGGCTGCATATCTTAGAGATGGTAAAAAAAGGCCTACCGAGGGTTTGCCCTAGACCAAGGGTCCAAATTCAAAGGTTCAGGCATGAGACAGCGAGATTCGCAACACGACCAATGTATCGTAGGGTTACTCAACCCGTCTCTTTTTTCTGAACCAAAAGAATTGTGAAAGCGGCAATTTGCTATAAAACATCCGAATATTGACCAAGCCATGTGAAAAAGCTTCACTCAATCTGTGTTTCCTTTGTCCGAAGCATTAATAAGTGTATCTATAGCCTATTGACTTAGCATGGCGAGGCGCAAAGTATCGGACTAACAAGCTAACTCATTTATTGAAAGGAGATTAATCAGCGATTGCGCCTCAGAGGACAAATATTGGGGAGACATAGCTAAATTTGGCAAGAAATGATCATTGAGATCATTCCCTAAAGTCACATGGGCAATGACAGAATGATAAAGAGGGTTAGGATTGAGCAACCGAGACTGACCATCAGAAAAGGGTCAGCTATCCGGCAAACAACGCTACTCAAAATCCAGAGACCGATATCAGGAACAGACGAGTCGTTTATCAGCCGACTATCCTTTCCTATAACCTCGTTATTCGGGCTTTATTGCTTCCAATCAATGTGGAGGAGACTCCGTGATTAAGACGCTAGGACTACTTAAGCATCCACTGCTTCCTGAATGGAAACCGGACATTAAACATGTAGTAATACAATAAGTATTCAAGAGGAAGTTAGTTGACATATTAGCCGCTACATATGCAGCACCAGAGACGATAACGGAGCAAGGGAAAGAGGAGAAGAATGAAAAAGTGGGAGAAGAGCTCGAGGAATGCCCTGACGCGGGTGATAATGGGGAATGTAGCGAAGACAAGACGAGGCGCGACGAAACGAGGTGAAGGAGGATAGAGGGAGAGACACCCGAAAGGCTGTGTGTGTGTGTGTGTGCTGTTGAGGCTCGTGGGTCGGTTATGAGCGGAAAAAATTGACTTACGCTGTTGCCGCCGCCATCGCCATCGACACCGCCACCGCCAACACCACCGTTACTACCGCGTGTGCCGACACAGCGGCATTTGTTCGGCGGAACGGTTTCTGCACACACAAAAACCTCATCCACACCGTTACTTTTCTACTTAAATTCCACACACACACAAAGAAAATGGGTGAAATACTGCATTCGAGCCTCTTCAATGATGCATTTGCTATCTCCGAATTCACGTGGATACATATACAAACCTGGGGGCAAGATAAACGACTCCCTTACAACAATCTTCCAAGTTTTTATCCGCTCCTCTCCCTT